AGTGGAAGCTAGGCTAAGAAAGGAAGTGGATATCTGTGAGCAGCAGTATGGCTTCATGCCCAGAAAGAGCACTACTACTAATATTTTTGCTCTGAGAATGTTAATGGAGAAGTATAGAGATGGTCAGAAGGAGCTGCATTGTGTCTTTGTGGATCTAGAGAAAGCGTACGACAGAGTGCCGAGAGAGGAGCTATGGTACTGTATGAGGATGTCAGGAGTGGCAGAGATGTCAGAGGAGTTGAGGATATGTATGAGAGGAGTACGACAGTAGTGAGATGTGCTGTAGGTCAGACAGAGGAGTTCAAGGTGGAGGTGGGGCTACATCAAGGATCGGCTTTGAGTCCCTTCTTGTTTGCTATGGTGATGGACAGGTTGACAAATGAGGTCAGACAGGAATCTCTGTGGACAATGATGTTTGCAGATGACATTGTGATCTGTAGTGAGAGCAGAGAGCAGGTGGAGGTCTGCTCTGGAAAGAAGAGGAATGAAAGTCAGTCGTGGTAAGACAGAATACATGTGTATGAATGAGAGGGACGGAAGTGGAACAGTGAGGTTACAGGGGGCAGAGGTCAAGAAGGTGCAGGAGTTTAAGTATTTGGGGTCAACAGTACAGTGTGATGGGTGGAAACAGATGATTCGCTGTGGCGACCCCTAACGGGAACAGTCAAAAGAAGAAGAAGAAGATAATAAATAGGATCGGTGCAACAATAAAACAGTACAATAACACAGACACACAGATGACATCCATTTAATAAATTAATACACAGTAAGGCCTGATGCATTCCTTTTAATCGCCAAGGCAAATAAATATGTTTTAAGCAATGATTTAAAAGTAGTCAGTAGCTGATCTAACATTAAAAGGTAGACTATTCCACAATTTAGGGGCTGCAACAGTAAAAGCACATTCACCCCAGCGTTTATATCTGGCCCTAGGAACCTCTAAAAGAAACTGAGGGACCTTGTAGATTTGTGCCAATGCACTAATTCAGTGAGGTAAGATGGAGCCAAACCGTTAAGAGCCTTAAAAACCAAAAATCAATCATTTAAAATCTATTCTAAAGCGAAATGGAAGCCAGTGGAGAGAAGCCAGTACCGGGATTATATGCTCAAATTTTCTAGTACTTGTTAGAAAACGAGCAGCAGCGTTTTGATCTTTCTCAGTCTCCCACATACAGCAATGTGAAACTGTTCTGCTGAAACTGCTACATGCCTTAGAGAACAAGTGCAGCCTTGTGTATTTTCATTGTCATCATAACCTGCGCCATAGTCTATACATGAAAATACTTTCAGAGTACACTGTTAAAGCAACAACGTGCCTCAACATTCTGCCTGCCATGTTTGTAAACGATGACACAGGGACTTCTGAGAGATAAACTAACGATTTGGAGCAAGTGACATGCTTTTACAGGTAACCCATTGTGTGATGCTGTTTGTACAAAGTGTTTCAAGAAATGCTCTCACTGTTTTGCAAATATCAAGAACGATTTGAGAAATGTACCAGAGTGACTGAGAAAAGCTGCACATTAAAAATACCGATTAGAGCATCTTTAAATAATTGATATATTTTGTTGGCTAGTCCATTCCCTAACATTATGAGCTTATATTATATTTTGTGTGCAAAAATCTGCAACATGCATTAAGTGACTGTAAAATATAGTTCACACTGAGGCAGTGGAGAAGAACGCACAAAGCCTGCCTCTGAAATGTAGTCAGAAAGAAGTGTAAAGTGGTTTAAAACAGACATACAGAAGTTTGGTACCTCAGAATTGATTATACGTAAATGTACAGTATTTGGTTATTTTCCACCATTACAGCCAGATGGCCTCCAGAAATAACATCTCTGTGACTGTTACCTGGTTGAAGTTATCCATGGCTTTGTGCAGGTTGGCGTGCATGCCAGTAGGTGGCTCATTGGTGATCTTGATGGAGTTTTCCAGGATGCCCTGTGGGATGATGTGACCTTCAGGGGTGGAGGAGGGCTCAGCACTGACAAACATCCTAAAGTTTTCATGGCTTCCCTCTGCATGCTGCTCCAGAAGTTTCTCTAAAGTACCCAGCCAGCGAGCCACCAAGTGGATATTCTACAGGAAATAGCACCAGCAAGGATAGGGTTAAAAAGGAAAATTACATGTTATTAGTGGGGGACAGGCTAGTTGTTAGGCAAAATTAATTCTCCTCTGTGAGCATAGAGGGCCTAATCTACACCCAGATAATGTTTTCTGTTGGATATCTGTGAAAGTCTGGGCTTTAATGGATAACACATAATAGCTTAATAAGGTACTTGATGCTGGAATTGACTCTATAATTTATTTTTGCAATGACAACTAGCAAAAAGGAGCAATTAAAATGTTGCATATTCTCCTATCTTCACTGTGACTTTGATGTGGCACCAAATTAAATGGTACATAGCACTTGAAACCAATTTCCAGGTTGCTGACACTGAGCAACCATTCTCCAGCCTAACTTCAGCCTGACTTTTCTGCATATTCATCTTTCAATGCGGTGCAGGCAGCCGAGCTGACTTGTACTATCACACAAGCATGGATGAGCTCAATTTTCCATCTCACCTGTCCTGACACCGACAGGATATCCTGTGAACGATAAGAAGCCAGCCAACCCCACCACGTCTCACCACAAAGCATTGTCCATTCCCTAAATCTAATTACAGCACTAATAGCTCAGGTCATTAATTTATGAGCCTCTTTACTTTCTCATTTTCCTTTTCTCTCCATATTCAATCTTCCTTATGATGACTGAACTTAGTCTTCTTCCCAAATGATGGGGCACAACATAAAGTGGAAAGCCACTTTTTGGGAGCGTCATTAAAAAAAGAGGAGAGAAAAGTTTTCCATCTTAAGGAAGAGATGTTTGGGAGTAGCTGAGAAACAGATAAGTTAATCTGCTTCATGATGCCTTAGAGAATAATGAATAGTATACAAATTAAAAGTCTAAATTCAAGTGCTTTTCATCAAGTAACGGCACATCTCTTCCTCTTGGCATGTAAATAGTTTGGTAATAAAGGCAGTCGACAGAAGAAGTGAGAGACTGCCTCAGAACTTGTCACTGTAATGAAACCATTTATCCTCTGGCTGTGGGGGGAGAAGAAGGGGAGGAATGGAGTGAGAGAGAGGCCGAGGGACCAGCAGGCCCACTGACAAACAAACAAGACAAAGAAGCAGCCACTATTTTATGGCTTTTTAATTAACTTTCAGGTGCAACATTTTTTTGTTCGCTCTTGATAAGGGCCTTGCAGCCCCTGTGATGGCTGCGCTGATACTACATCAGTCACCTATTTACATAATAATGTGAAAGTTGAATCTAAAACCCATTAGAAGACACCACTGGCAAGGTTTTTGATGCATTGCTATCAAACACAACCTGAGGGAAAGCACAAAGGCACATCCAACTGCCTGTCATACAAATATAAACACGGGCAGGTGCACGCGCACAATCTCTCTCTTCGACACATAAAAGCGAGCACCATCAAGGAGCAGCAGTGAGGACAGCTGCACAGCTGGGCTCCAGCACTGAGGAGGCGGCCCTGCAGTGGAGGAACAGTCAGACCCTGGACCGACGCAGGACCAAAGCGAGCAGGAGGGCCACACCGGACTACCAACACACTGAAGGCACTGACAGCATGGCAGACTGCTGAGTCTACCTTTAATAGTGGTGAGGAGAAAATCACAAATATGCAGTTTATGTGTTGCAAGTTTTGGAGATCTGTTTTTAATTGTCAGCTTACTCTCTGTAAAACATTTAAATGCCGTTTCAATGTAACCCAAAAAGTTTTTCAAGTTTACTGTTGTCCTCCCGTCATTATGCAATACATGGGCTAGGCTACAAATGCACTGTCATAAAAAAATACACAGAGAAATACAATGAAAACAACTGGGGTGAGGCTGATAGAAAATCTACTTGCAAAGCAAAAAAAGGTATTTCAAGCATCCAGAGTTCTGAAAGTAGAAGTCCCATTCATTTTCTCCATAGATAATGTTAGCTGATGGAATATAGAGTAATTCCAAATACAGCATGGATTGAGTTGCATATTTCTGGCCCAACCCGACCAGTGCCTGAGAGCGTGACATCCACATCCAACACAGACCCGACAAGCTTATAGTATTTAATGTCTGAACCTGACCTGAGCCCAGCACAGTTGAGTAACTATGGTGTTTTCCCCCTTATCATTAAACAAAGCAGATATTTGAGTGCTCCAGCTGTCTGGCCTAAAGTTTGACCTACATGTCCAAACCCAAACATAATTTCTAAATTTCTGTCTCAACCCAGTCCAAACCCTCACGTACTGATGGGACCCATCATTGGTTCGGGTATCTACACTCAACTTTCAAAACGCGGAAATGAATTGATATAAACTTTAAAGAACAAGCCTAAAACACAAGGGGAGATAGCGTAATTACAACTCCCAAGGTGCATTTTGGTAAGACACGTCCAATAACAGATGTTAACACACCGTATGTATGTTAGGTGCGCAGCTAATAATTTGAAAAAGCTTAAAAAAATTATTATATTTTCAATCTACACCTTAAATCAGTTCAGGGCTGATTTCTGCCTGACCTGCTCCTCTGCTACAGTGATGATAACCAAGGCTTATTGGTATTAGAGTATTAGGAGCTATCCATACTAAACTAAAAGTAAGATAGTTAAAACTGCCATGGCTGAACTGTAGGCTCAGGCAGAGGCTGTGTTTGCATGAGCTGAATGGCAGTTGCTCTTTCCATGCTGTACATGGCTATCAGATAACTAGTCACATCCAGGCATGTTCATGCAAGTGTACAGTGCAGCTCATCCTCCTCTTTTTGTGCTTATTTTTGGCATAGTTTAATAATAATGTACTTATTTCTTCCAGCAGAATCCTTGCTGCTCTGGTTTTTTTGAAACCTCCTTCAAAGAATTACAGCATAGCGGCTAAATCTAACTGTATAACCATAACTACTGATATGAATTAACAATTCCTAAATATAAATATTTCTGGTTTAATAAATCTACTGGTAAATTATCCATTAGACTGTTTATTGTGTATTGAGAATATAAATAACTGAAAAAACTGGAATTGGAATTTACAGGCATAAAATACTCCCAAATTGCATCTCTATTCTAAAGAGTATAAAATGTTTGTTAAAATGATTTACTCTTACATTGCAACATAATTCACTTTTAAAAAGGGCCACAATACAGTTATTCTCAGTGTTGCTTACATTTTATTCTTTGTCATCCTCATAGGTTAAAATAAATCTTGTTCAACTCTCAATGTAGAATTTCACAAAAAAGTGCATGAATCATGCAAGTTTCAAAAGACAATCAAAGTGCTCGGGTTTTTCCTTGCAAAGTAAAATGAAGAGAAAACACTGAGGAAGAACTTTTTTGTCTCTGCTGATGTCTTCTGTCTGCATTTCTTTCTGTAACAGCTGCAGATGGGAGGCATCAGCAGTAAAAATGTGCGAAGAGACTGGTGAGATCAGGCCAATTGATTCCTGC